AACTCTCCCTCTAATCGCCGTTAATTTTCGAATTCGAACTCTTTTTCGTGTATTTTGTTTCAAAGTTGGGTTTTTTTTATTTGATTCCGATGGTTTCTTTTGTTGAGCTGATAAGCTTTGGTAGTTCGAGCGTATAGTGAGGATATGAGCCTTTGTTTTGTCTTTCTCGTTTCCGTCATTGTTATGATAGACAATGTTCTCATTAATCTGGGGTTTTGGTCGCGGGGTAGTGCTCTTGGCTTAAAACTTAGGTTGAAACTCTTGTTTTGTCTTCTTAGAGATGGCTAGACTCTTGTCTTTAGCTTTTTTCTTTTTCTGACAGAATTTTATTCTTCCTCCTGTGTGTTTATTTATTGTGAATGTTTCAATTAAGAGGCTCTTTCTTTCTTCTCTATGCTACTATACTCTGTATTTTGAAGGTAGATTATGTTGTTCTCTTTGCATTCTGTTCAAATTGAAGATGAGTTGCTTTCAAATTTGTTTTAGTTACGAAATTTGTACTAACCAGAAACTACGAATTTAGGGATTTCTTTTTTCAGTTTCCTCCTGCATAGTGAAATTGAATGGAGGGAAGAGTTTAACTTGCATTATGAAGAAAAATCTTTATGCTTTAAAATCTGAAACTGTGTAGGAGATTGTGTAGTGGCACTTTGTGGAGTAAAACGTTTGGTAATAGTTGAATTTGTACTGTTTGTATGAACGGAGTAGCGTTTGAGCTGGGAAGCCAAATAAGGTAGATGTGTGAATCTATGTTACATGATGTCATGACACATGCTTTCTTTATGATAGATGGCAAGCGCTTGGAACATGAGCATTGCAATGGTTCATAGGGATATAGAGAGGGAATGGGAGATCAATGTGGAGTTGTTTCATATTGTTTTTTTTTATTATTATCTTTGGAGATTCTTGCTCACTTTGGGACAAGTTAAACTCTGCAAAAACTCTTGGGACGATCTGGAGAAAATTTATTTCAAATTAATAGTAGCTTTTGGAGCACATTGGAGCAAATATGCATTTGGAGCTTGTGGAGCACTGCTCTGACCAAGGATTGCTCTCACTTGGTTTGCTTCATATATATTTTGGTCTTACCATCTCTTCTAAATGCTGAGGCTAAACAGATAGCTTTCTGAGTGGAGATATTTTTGTCTATAGCAGTAAACTTTGATCCTGTATTGATTTGTTTCTGTTTATTCATATCTGCAGTTACTTGTTAGGTTTGTTCTAACATTTGCAAACAATGAGTGGTCGGTTTTCTCGGTCAATTTATGTTGGTAACTTGCCAGGCGACATTCGAGAACATGAGATTGAAGATCTCTTTTACAAGGTCAGTTCTGGTTATTTGTTTGGTTTCCCAAGATTTCCCCAAATGTTATAAAGAGATTTCTGTTATAACAACTTGAAGATACTAAATATATGATATGTAATGCTCTTGTTTGCAGTATGGGCGCATAGTGGATATCGAATTGAAGGTTCCACCTCGACCTCCTTGTTATTGCTTTGTTGAGGTACACTTTGTCTTAAATTTGTGTGTTTATACCAGTTTTTTCAATTTATACGTTCACTCAGCTAAGCTCTCTGTGTTCAATGATTGTAGTTTGAGCATGCTCGGGATGCTGAAGATGCAATCAGGGGCCGTGATGGCTATAACTTCGATGGTTGTCGCTTGAGGGTAATTAGGCATTGACTTCTCCTTACTATTTGGTGGCAAGAGCAGAATCTCGACTATTCTGGCTGCTTCACAACACTCATTATCTTTTGATGTTTCTATTTTTTCTTTTCTTTCATAGTTTCTAATCATTATGAATGCAGGTTGAACTTGCTCATGGTGGTCGAGGACAGTCTTCAAGTGATCGTCGTGGTGGCTATGGTGGTGGCGGTGGCTATGGTGGTGGAGGTGGTGGGGGTGGTGGATCTGCCCGGTTTGGTGTCTCACGACACTCTGAGTTCCGAGGTTCGTATAATTTGCTGTGAGAAATTTGTATCGATAAAGTTTGGTTGAATCTTCATCTCTTCTGAGTGTTTTTATATGTTCATGGATGGCTTTTGCAGTTATTGTACGTGGGCTACCATCATCTGCTTCATGGCAAGATTTGAAGGTCTGATGACATTCAGTGTTTTGCTGCAACATTTTGGTTTCTTCTCCCTAGTTTTTGTTTTCATTTCTCAAAACCATCATTGCAGGATCATATGCGGAAAGCTGGTGATGTGTGCTTTGCTGAGGTCTCTCGAGACAGTGATGGTGCGTTAATATACACTTAAAATGGCATACTTCCTTAGCAGTATCCTACTTTCTTCAGCTTTGAGCTCTGCGTTTTTGTTTGGGATAATATAGTTTTGTCTTTTTAGCAGTGGACAGAAAAGAGAATGACTTTCTTTTCTTTATTTGATATATGATCAGGAACTTATGGTGTTGTCGACTACACCAATTACGATGACATGAAGTACGCTGTAAGTTCCATTTGGTCTTCTCTCTTGCTGTATATCAAGTTAGTGATATGTATAATTTCTGATGTTTAGAAAATTGTGATTTCAGATAAGGAAGCTTGATGATACTGAGTTCAGAAACCCTTGGGCTAGATCTTATATTCGGGTATAATCTCTTTGCAGTCTTAAGTGTCTATCTTTATTTGTTTACCTTCTTTGATCCTAATTCATTAAATATGAATTGAAAAAGAGGGGTTTAACTAGATTTGACAGATAAAACTTTAATTTGGAACTTGTGATCAACCATTCATGTTTGAGCTAGGGTAGATGCATCATTGTCTCCCTTCCCATTCATGATACATCTGTACTTTGTAATCAATGTTGGCTCGTTTGAAATCATGATTTCGCAATTTAACTCTCATGTTATGTCTTTGCGTTCTGCTCATACGCAGGTTAAGAAATATGAGAGCTCCCAATCGA